TTGGATTTTAGGGTTCCAATAAATGTCCAGCGAACTCTTTTTACTTCATTATTATACGCTGCCTATTTTCTGCACACCTCCGGCTAATTTCTTAGTCCCATCAGCAGCTCAGTTAGAGAGATCATCCTTCTACATAGCAGAGAGATCGTTCTTGTCGCGCGCGACGGCGGTAGAAGAAACTCCGAGAAGAATGATCTCTTTGCTGTGTAGCCCGCAGCCCCTTCCTTTTGTATGTATTGCATGTGATCTCCCGCCTGTAGATTGTGCCCCCTTCCTCCTCCCTCCCCTCCCCTCCTCAGCCTATATATAGGTCGCATTTAGATGTTATGTTTAGTGTTATTCTTCTAACTTCAACGGAGCAGCGACATCAACGAAAACAACATCAACGAACGTCAACAGCAACGGACATCAACAGACATCAGCGGCATCGAAAGACGAGCGTTACGTAATGAACGCTTCGTCCACGCAGCGTTTATTACGTAACGCTCGTCTTTCGGATTCGACTTCGTTCGTCTGTTGCTGAAGAAAGCCTGACATCCAGTCACCGCGTTGTGCTGGGCTTAAGGCCAATCCGGAACTCGGATAGCCCAGTGAATCTGATCCATACTGCTTCGCATCCTCGTCGTAATCAGAGCAGGCCGTTTTTCGCTAGCACGGCCCAGGTCAAACTAGAATCGCAATGCTTCACCGGTGATGTGCAGCCGAGGATCGACTGTGTCTTTGGTTTTTCAAGGATTTCTGTCCGCCTGGATATTGTTAGGCGGTTTTTATGCGTTTTTTGCTGCGTAACAGCAATACAAAACGCATATTGTCACGGGGTTGTCTGTGTGTGTGTGTGTCCGCAGCAACTTGTCCGCAACTTTCAACTCGGGAACCACAAAAGCTAGGAAAAGCGCTGAATAGGGTAACGTTTCCCACCCACGTGTGACCCCACAAATTTAAATTCAGCTTCCCCGTACCCACGGGTAACGTGTACGGCCCAACTTTTCCCACCCACGTGCGACCCCACGAATTTAAATTCAGCTTCCCCGTACCCGCGGGTAACATGTACGGCCCCGCAAAAGTTCGGATAAAATCTTTATCACGGGAAACACGGAAGCTAGAAAGCTGAAATTTTGTGGGGATGCCCTCCGCCCATATGCTACCCAGAAAATCTAAACTCAGCTTTCCCCTGCCTGCGGGTAACATGTACGGCCCTGTGAAAGTTTTTGACGGTAAATTATCTCGGGAACCACGGAGTTTAGGTAGCTGAAATTTCAGGGTAATGACCCCTTGCCAACAGTTGGCCTTGCCCATTCAAATTCAGCGTCCCCGCGCATTCGGGTATCACCGGCGGGGAAACTATTATCTCGGGACCATAAAAGCCAGGAATCTAGATTTTATAGTAATGTTTCCTTTCCACATACATGTAATGTCCTCGATGAATCATTAGCAGGCAATCTTTCGGTGAACGGAATTGCACAAAACGCATGATCGTACCGGCTGCTCTGATGCGCGTCGCTACTTATTGTGTTTTTTAAAGGACACGTTGTCGTTGGATCGCACTTGTAACGTGCGGCTTGTTAAAACTACTGCAGTAGTTGTTGCAGGTCTTGGACTGCAGCAGTGGACGAATCCGCTGCAGTCCATTGGGTGAATTCATCGGACTGCAGCGATGGACGAAGCTCGCGTGGTGAGCAACTTCCACCTTTCACTGCGAGCGAAATTTGGTTTTTTTTTTGAATTCGGAAAAGAAACAGAAGCATATTTAATCTTGAAAAAAGAAATGGCTTTAGTTTGGCTTCAGTTCATAACGTATTTTCATGCGTTTTTTGCAGGACCCGGAAGCAGCTGAGCCAATTCCGGAAGCAGCTGGACCAAGTCCGGAAGCAGCTGGGCCAATTTCGGAAGCAGCTGGATCAAGTCCGGAAACAGCTGGATCAAGTCCGGAAGCAACTGGACCAAGCCATCCGGAAGCAGCTGGAAGCAACTGATCCGGAAGCAGCTGGACCAAGTCATCGGGGTGCAAGTGAATACTCATTTGATGCTCTATATATTTTAATGGAATGGATAATCGGAAGGAGGAATTGGCGTTGATCGGTGCTGGGAATTTGCCCGAACGCCTGATACAACCCCAAGCTGGATATGTCTCTGAGTCATCTACAGGCCGCCAGATGCTCAGGATCTGGAATCTCGAAGATTTGGAAGACGGGGCAGATGCCACAGATGCCACGGTCCCAGATCCCACTTTTTTTGCGACCTGTAGAAGAGTCGTATCATTTCAAAAAAAAAGTAATTTGACAAACATAAAATCCGGTAGGCGTAGTGACCACGGGCTGTTTAGGGATGAAAAGATGGCCAGTTTGCTTGATGCACTGTGCTGTGGAAATTGAGAAAAAAGCATTCGTGATGTATAGGCGTACATGTATATACGTTACTGTTTGATCTTCACTACAATGCCAACGGTTAGTCAGGCAGGGCCGGAAAAATTGTGACGTGCTGTCTTCTTGTTGCGTTTGCGAGCTTTGGGTATTCCTTGTCCTGTTTAACATTTTTTGCATTTACTGAATTTGTTGCATGACAAATACTGTTACAGATACTAGAGGTATTGTAATTGGAACGAAAGTACTATTGGATATTGGAGGCGACAGCGATCAATCTACCAAAGAAGATTAATTTGAATCTTCGATTTTGAGTTTGAGTTTTGCACTTGGAGATTTTTAATTTTAAATTTTTGGATTTTGAACTTTGAAAAGATTTTTGGTTTAGTGATTTTCCGCCCAGTTTTGATGATTGAATCTGCCTAATGAATTTTGAATAGATTTTTGGACAGAGACGAAAAGTTGAGGAATGAACCTGCCTGGATTGTTTGAATTTAAAATTGAATCCGCCCAATTTTGGTAATTTTTGGATAGAAAGAGTAGTTCAGTTGTTTAACTCTGTTCAATTGTTTTGTTTGGTACATGTTTTTGTTTTAATTTTAATAAAAATTATTTTGTTTCATCTTTTCTGACATTAAAGATTCATGGAAGCTTTCCTCTAATATTTTTGTCGGATTTTTCACAGTTTTTTCCCTTCTCGACGGAAGCTGCAGCTCATGTTTCGGTATTGTTTTGAGCTGTACGTAATTTTCCAAAATATCTCGCAAAATGTTATCTTTAAGCAAAAATTGACTGGCTCAGTTTGAACCAGTAGACAGTAAGCAAGAGTAACATGAGCAAAAGCAGAGTCGAAATTTGCATCTAAAATCAGAGAAAATCAAGTTTAATTGCTCACTGATTTTGAGAATTCCCTTTCGCCATCCCCCCTTCCCCGCCTACCTCCAGCC